CCCCGTCCGTGCTGAGCCCGGCCTCCCATCCCAGCGCTGGGAACCTCCAGGCGCCGACCCCACTGACCGCAGCCACGTGTCCGTGGGGAAGAGAAATTAAAAAACAGCCCGGCCGGCAGGGCTCGGCGGTTGAGCATTAACCTATGAACCAGGAGGTCACGGTTCGGGTCCCGGTCAGGGCACAGGCCTGGGTTCTGAGCTCGATCCCCAGAGGAGGGTGTGCAGGAGGCAGCTGACCCATGATTCTCTTTCATCGTTGATGTTTCTCTCTCCCTCTCCCTTCCTCTCTGAAATCAGTAAAAATAAATTTTAAAAGAGAAAAAAACAGACCCCGAGGAACTAGCTACCAGCCTCAGGCCTGACCCACGTGGGGGTCCCAGGCCCCCAGCATCCGGTCCCTGCTCTATGGGGCCTGTCACCCCGAGGGGGAGGTGGAGAGTGGGGGCGGGGGGTGCCCGAGTCCTCCCCTCTGAGCTGGCTGCCATCTGCGCCTCCAGTGGAGGCTGAGGGTTGCCGTGGTAACTCTGGCCTGAAAACATCACTTCTGTTTGCAAAGTGTGGTCCAGAGCCGCTTTGTGAAAAACTTTGCCGGGGGGTGTTGAGATGCCCCAGGAAGGCCTGGGTCTCCGGGACCCAGCAGCCATCAGGGACCACAATGCGGGTCCCCACCCCCCCCCCGCAGTGCGTGCCCCCTAAACCCACGGGCCATGCTGAGTGCCGAGCGTGCTCGCTGTGCATCTGAAGCTCGGGTGTAACTGGTGCCTGCATTTTTAGGGGGCGCCCTTATGTGCATTTGCTCTGGCCTGTGGCCACCGCAGACCCCGAGCCGCCCAGGGGACGCCAGGCCCTCTGGGGGTGGCACTGCCCATAGTCCTGAGCATGTGGGAGCCCGCGGGGACAGGGCGGCAGGGAGGCGGCGGGAGGAAGGAAGCCGCCGTGCGCTCCGGATGGGGCAGGAAGGCGGCTACACTGAGCTGTCGGGCAGGAAGGAGGCCCCCCCAGAGCCTGGTGAGCGACGGGGCTCCAGGGGTGGCAAGTGGGTCTGCCCTTGGTGAGGAGGCCAGACCGGGCCAGGCCAGGCCTGTGCCCACTGAGCACCTGACCAGCCTGGGTGCCCTCCG